TGTTTTTGATACTACTATAATGGTGTATTAAAATCTGTTGCTGATGTATAGAAATACAACTGATTATTGCATTCAGGAAATTTGCTAAATCCCATAAGCATCTATATATTCTTTAGGACTTTTGTGTGTGCATCACGTTGCCTACGATAATGACAGCTTTTTTTTCTCCCTTTGCAGTCCTTATGTTGTTTGCTTATGCCTTAGTGCATTTGGTTAAGACCTGAAGTACAACGTTGAATAGAAGTGATAGCAAACATCCTTGTCTTTCCTGATCTCAAAGGGAGCTCTTTCCACATTTCCTGTTACATATGCTGTTTAATACAGGTGTTTTGTAGATAGGTACTCCTAATTGGATTAAGGAAGTTCCTTTTTCAAGGCTATGTATCAATGAATTTTAGAAGTCACTCTGTTTTATGCTTTCCTTTTTCTTTAATTTCTGCCCTTATAGATATTACTTCTTTTTTTTTCTTTTTCCTTTTTTTTTCTTTTTTCATGTTTGATTTGTTGGGATTTCTTTCTGGCTTTTTAATCCAGATTCTTAGATCACTGGGGTTTTTCCATGGTTTTCCCTTTTCTAATATATGTATTTAAGGTTACACAGTTCCTACAAACTTAACCGTAGCTGCATTTCCACAGCTTTGTAATAGAAGAATTTTTCATCTTCATTCTTCGATTCATGGGTTACTTAGAAATTCATTGCTTAATTTCAAAACCATTAATTCCTTGTCCTCTTTGTTACTGGTTTTTAGCTAAATTCCATTAGCTCACAGGATATACTCCTCTATCCATTCTTGTTTTGAGATTTGCTCTGTGCCTGAGTACATGTTTAGTTTTGGTAAGTGTTCCAACTTCACTTGAAAAGAAATTTTATGAAGTGCTCGTTTACAGTTTATATTCCTTGGAGTTTGTCTTGTGGCTTGATATGTTTTGAAAAACTCTCAACCTAATATTATCTCTTCAGATACTGTTCTGCCCTATTTTCTCCCCTCCTCAGTGTTCTAGGGCACATGGTAGACCTTTTCCTTTTGTCCGTGTCTGTCTGTCTGTCTGTGTCTCCCGTCATTTTGTCTCCACCTCTAGTCTTCCTTCGTCTAGTTTACTGATTTACTTTAGCTTTCTGTCATCCACTGCCATCCATCTTAAGTAGTTTTGATTCTCTTTCTTACGGTTGTTGTTGGTGTGCCAGGATTCTCCATATTGTCATTTAAATTCTTGTATAACAATTCTTCTAAGGTTTTATTCAATAATTCCAGCATTGAGTCTTCTGGTCTGTTTTTGATGTCTGATTTTTTCCTCTGGGGTATTGGATAACTATTACTTTCTTATATATTTTTGTTGTTGCTTTATTTCTGTGTCAGACAAAAAAAAAAAAAAAAAGTAATGGTGACTTTAAAGCTCTGAATGATGGTGTCTTCCTCCAGGAAGGTTTTACTTTTTTACTTTACCTTGGGCAGTAGTTAGGATAGTGGCAGGTTACTTCTGTCCAGGTAGAATTGACATGGTTTTGAATTGGTTGTCAGTTCTCGTGAGGGCTGCTTTATTTCTGATTTGCCCTATATCCTCCTATGTAGCCTTTGGGATCCCAACCAGAAAGCTTTAGGTCTTATTAAGGACCCTCTACTTTGGAAGACCCTGAATTCATTTTTGTCTTTCCAGCCATATGAGACTGCCAAAGCTTTTCTGTGCCTCTCAACTACAGCTTTTGCTTTTGGAATTGGCATTCACCATGAGAGAAAAAGTAGACTTAAATATGGGGGCTAACCCTTGGCTCCTCTTCCCTTGGCTCCACGATGTCTACTGCCCCGCTGGCTCTTCCGTACTGCCATACCTTCAAACACACGTAGGTCAGACCTTCAGCATTTGCTTCTTGTCTCTGGCGGGAGTGTTAGTGTAAAACAACACGGTCAGCCTTTGCCTGGAAGTGGGTCAGATTTTAAGCAGCCTCATTTGTGGTGGAGCCTTTGACCTGTTGCAGGAAATACACTCCCTGACACTAATAACTGTTTGGTATTCTGTTTTAAGTAGTTACTGGTCCCCTCTCTGCTTGTCCCCTGCTCACATGCATGCACTGTCTCTCTCTTTCTCTCTCCATCTCTCTGTCTAAATAAATAAAGTAATATTAAAGTTCTTTTTTGTTTATTTATATTTAGAGAGAGAGACAGCATGAGCTGGGGAGGGGCAGAGAGAGAGGGAGACACAGAATCTGAAGCAAACGGGGAGATTATGACCTGAGCCATAGTTGGATGCTTAACCGACTGAGCCACCCAGGTGCCCCAATATGAACGTTCTTTATGTTTCTTTGGAAAAAAATGTACTGAGGTAGTGATCATCTCCAGTAATCAATTTCAGTGTCAGTCCTTACATTTGGTGCAGGTGGTAGTAGAGGTATTTATTTTAACTATATTTTTCCAGGGGAACACTAGTAAATATCCACATCTACAACTGTCTACACTGGAAGTCCTAGCATTGATACAAAATCATCACAGATGTTACACTGGTACCAGTTATAGAAAAAGTAAACTGTCCTCTGACCTTTTGTGCGCGGCGTTGATATCTCCCTGTGTCTTACCAGATTTCTCATTTTCCAGAGTAGGTGTATGTATTTACCCTTGCCTTCAGCACTTCCAGGCCTAACCTGCCTCTCGCCCTTGTGCCCCGTAACTATGTTCTACATTGCAGCCAGACCGTGACATTTATTATCTACCAAGAGCACTTCCTACCTGCTGCCTTCCCTTGCTTTGTTCTGGTCTCCCTCTGGAATAACACGTCCATCCCACTGCAGGCACTCTTCAGGTGTTTTCTGTTAAGTCATGAAAGGCTGTCTTGTCTTTTGGCTGTTACAGTCGATTTGTGTTCTTTCCTCTTTTTCACACTGTAAATTTCTTGATGGAACCGTCTTGCTCATCTTGGCATTCTTTGTAAAGTAGAAAGGTCTAGAGCCTCTTGTGAAGTGGGGACTCTGCAAATCAAAGTTGAGTTATAGCACAGAACTAAATTGACTGTTAGAAGTATAGATTGACTATTTTTTTTAATGACTCTCCTTGTTACATCTTTTGCCTGTTTTTCATTTGATACGTTCATTATATTTTTGTGGAGTTGCAGGACTTGCATTTTTCATGTTAAGGATAATAACTCTTCTTGAAAATATTTGCCTTTTAATTTTGTTTATAGTTTTTGTTTCGGGGTGTGTTTATTTCCAGCCTACAAGGATTTTATTTCGATCTTATGGAAATGTGAGCATGGTGGAAAAGACAGATGGCACATAGAGTCCCCCTGCTGCGTGTGATACTTTTCCACAGAGAGGTTCTTTACGTAGCGATTTTATGTGACAGTCTGTCAGTTTTCTGTCTTCTGTCTCTGGCACAGACTTCTCCCTGGCCCATAGTATGGAACAGCTAATCTGGGTTTTTTTAGTCCTTTTGTGACACTTCTTACATGTAAACCTTGGTCACATCTGGATCGTGTGTGTGTGTGTGTGTGTGTGTGTGTGTGTGTGTGTGTCACCTGTGACAGACATAGTGGGGGTACAGTATTTCCCCTTAAGTGTTGAACCAGGTTGTCCTTAACCCTGGCTAAACATTGGAATCATCTTTGGTACTTTATTAAAAATGTAAGGTGTGAGGTCCAAGCGCTTAGTTTTTGTTCTGTGTTTCTTTCCCTGAGTGTACCAGCATTGCTCTCACACCCGTTCTCAGCCTCGGGTGTCCTGATACTGGTCTCATGGAGTTGCCCTGTTTCACCACTTTCGCCACCTGTCTCTGAGTTTAAATTCTTCTTTACCTCTTCAGACTTTTATTAAAGATTGCTGTCTGCTTGTTTGTGCTTATATAACTGTTACTGAGTAAGAAATCACTAGAAACTTCTGGAAGAATGTCTGCAGTGATAGGTTATTAGTATTTTTGTAATTAAGCTAAAGACTTCACGAAACTTCATGGTGCTTGCTCTTTGTCAGTTATCGAGGCTGCTTTGCATGAGGGGAAGGTGAGAACAGACCTTCGCTACCAAGGAACCGATTGCCTGTTTGTTGGAGGAGACAGGTGTCTGGATAATAATCATGTAACAGCAAATACCATAGATACTGCATAAGTCATAAATGTCATGATAGCACATCTTAAAAAAATAAAGTTGAAGCAGGGGGCACCTGGGTGGCTCGGTCGCTTAAGCATCCGACTTTGGCTCACGTCATGATCTCATAGTTTGTGAGTTCTAGCCCCACATCAGGCTCTGTGCTGGCAGTGCAGAGCCTGCTTGGGATTCTTTCTCCCTCTCTCTGCCCCTCTCCACTTGCTCTCTCTCAAAATATACCTAAAAAAAATAAAGTCGAAGTAAAACAAAAATTAATAAAAGCAAGACTATTAGTTTACTGGCTTACCTTTGCCGTAATAGGTTTTTTGAGGCGGGGAGGGGGGTTGGGAAAGCTTCTTAATTGTATAATTTCTGCAGCCAACATAAAGTAAAGCTGGATGCGTCATAGGCTCTAAACCATGACTGAATGTAACCTTCTACTTTTTAATATATGCAAAAAGTACATTGTTCCTTGTACTTTATTAGCATTTCCTTACTTGTTCAGATTTTTTCCCCGTAGTTAATACTGGCAACTGACTTTCCTTCAGGGGCCTTCCTTCACAGAGAAATGTTTTTCTTTATTTTTATTTTTCTAAATTTATTTTTGAGAGGAAGCTCATGCACCAGGGAGGGGCAAAGAGAACGGGAGAGAGAGAGAATCCCAAGTAGGCTCCACGCTGCCAGCAAGGAGCCCAGTGTGGGGTTTGAACCCACGAACCGTGAGATCATGACCTGAACCAAAATCAAGAGTCAGATGCTTAACCGACTGAGCCATCCAGGTGCTCCTTTTTTGTTTTAAAAGATCGTATTTTTAAGTAATGTCTACACCCAACGTGGGGCTCGAACCCACAACACGGAGATTGAGTCTCATGCTCCACTACGTCAGCCAGGTGCTCCACAAAAGATGTTTGTCACTGAGGAGGAGACCCTGTGTGTGGCGATGAACAGAATACAAAGTTGTATTGAAGGTGGATGTCACGCTGTCCAGTAGGGTAATCATGTCACTGCTTTTTGCCTTTTAGCTTTGGAAGAGAAGCGGGCCCAGCTTGTCACCGTTTTCCAGCCCAGCCTCATCCCGCTCGCAGACACCAGAGAGGCCAGCAAAGAAAATAAGGTAACGGGTCCTTGTTTGCACTGCAGACTAATGAGAGGGCAGGAAAGGAAGCACACGTACTTGGCTGTTAGGCCTCCTGCGGCTCCGATCCGGAGGATCCAAGATTGCCATCCAGAAGGACAGTGAAGTACCTGCCCAAACTGCTCTCGCCTCTTAAATGTCTTCTGTGCTGACCCTGGAGGCTCTGGCTCTCTTCCTCATCCTGCAGCACAGGCGACTGGGGTGTGAACGCAAAGGCCACAGGGTAGAGGGGGCACAGAGAATCATGGCAGGGGCAGGAGAGTTCATGTTCTGGACCCCAGCTGATCTCCAGGCACCAACAGGCGACTAGACTGCTGCTCTTAGGGGTCAGCTCTGTGGCTACAGCTCTCAGGAACTGGGCGAGGTGTAAGTAAGGTTGTGAAGGTTCTCGTTCCGTGCTTGTTGTGAGACAGAGGTTTCTCCGTGGCTTCCATGAACTTCTCCCTTCGTTTTGTAGGAATTTCCTTTTGATTTCTCTTATTTTTTGTCCTGGCCTGTGATCTTAAATCACAGTTGTTCTAGACTTTGGCAGGGTTGGTAGTTACGAGGCTGTAAGTAGTTACCCGATACTCTGTATCAGGAAGTCTTTCTAAATGCGCCTCTGCCTCTTCTGCCCTCAGAGAGGACGAGCTTTCTCACCGCTCCAGTTCTTCAACTCCTTTGGCAACAGACAAGGAGGCCCAGGGAGAAAAGGGTAGGTTGTGAAGCGCGCAGGAGTGGCTTCTGGTGGTGGGAGTGTTTATGGAGCATGTGAGACCCCTGCTCATCCGGAAGCATGCGCTGAGCATCGCTGTGTGCAGGACCTGGTAGGTGCAGAGGTCTGTGGTCTGTGGCACAGGCAGCTACGGCCCCGGCCAGTGGATCTGTGGGCTGGCGATGAGCGCTGGTGGGGGCCTCTGAGCAGCCTGGGTGACTACTGTCAGTAAGCACTTGTATGCCTGTGTTTGGAGCAGTTATCTTGATACCCTCCTGGCAGAAACCGTCCTGCAAACTCTCCAAGACCCCATCCACGGAAGACCAAATCTTTCAGACATAACCAGTGAGAATTCAGTGTTAAAAACCAAGTGGATAGACAAACTTGGCCATTTCTGGAAGAGGAGGAAGAAAACAAGTCCATGTTGTTTCTTTAGCTGCAGATACAACCACATGGAAGGCGCAGAACTCGTGGAGCTCCCCTCCCACACCTGGCAGCTCTGGGCAGCGGAAGCGAAAGATTCAGCTTCTACCCTCCCGGCGAGGGGCTCGGCTGACCCTGGTATGGCTTTGTCTGTCCACACCCGCCCACCCCAGCTCGGCATCCCCAAGTTCTAGGGTAGCTCCATACAGGTTTCTTCCAGCTTCCCTGATGGGCCTCTCGTCTTTCTCTCTGGCAGCCCCCACCTCCCCAGCTTGGCTACTCCATCACTGCCGAAGATCTAGATTTGGAAAAAAGAGCTTCGCTGCGGTGGTTTAACAAGGCCTTGGAGGATGGGACTGGTAAGGAAGACCGACCAGCTTCCGGCTGCAAAGAGGAGTTTCCTCTGGTTTTATTTGGATCTTTCTCATCTGACAAATCCTTTTGAGGCCTCAGTGGAATCTGGAGAACAATGAGCATTGGAATCAAGGAGAAGCATTTCTTTCTTGCTTTTTTTTTTTTTTTTTTAAGTTATTTAGAGAATGCCAAATGGGGGAGGGGCAGAGAGCGAGAGGAGAGAGAGAGAATCCCAAGCAGGCTCCATACTGACCGTTCAGGGCTTGAACTCACAAACCGTGAATCATGACCTGAGCTGAAGTCAGTCGCTCACCTGGAGCCTCCCAGGTGCCCCAGGGGAAGCATTTCTAAATAAGCAGATACCGAGTCCGTGAGCGTCTCGTGCTACGTGATGTGCCCCTGGAAAGAATTTCCCAGCACCTTTCTTTCTCCTTAGATACGGCTTCTAACTCTGGCACCGAGAAGCCCCCTACTACTCAACCTTCTTTGACGTTTACCCTGCCAACTACTGGGACCGCCGCCTCCCCAGCCACCCTCCCAGCCCCAAGCCCCAACCCGCTGCTGGAGAGCTTGAAGAAGCAGAGTTCTGCAGGCCCACCCCCTTCCTCGGGTGAGTGGGCGAGCTCCATCTGCGGCGTCGAATGGCATCCGTCCATGGGTCACGTGGAGTAAAGGCGTCATGCCTGCCAGTCCCTGAAGGTCTTCGGGAGCTTGAACTTGCTGTGGCTCAGCAGTCCTGAGCTGGCACACGCTTCCGAGCTTCAGAATTCTCTCATCGGGAGGGTTCTAGGGAAGGGGGTCCACGGCTTAGTCTTAGCAGTCGGAGGCTCTGGAGGCCAGAGCCACTCAGAGCCTTGCTGTTGTCCTCTGTAAAATGCACACGTTTACCTTTGAGGTGGCTCTGAGATGTAAATGTGATCCCATGGTTACCAAGTCTTGTCACATGACCACAGGCACAAGAGGATGTCATTTTTCCCTCTGGGTTTCCAAGGGTCCTTCATGGTACTGCATGTGCCCACACTCCTCTTGTTGCCCTTTAACATAGTCTATCCGGCATCAGCCCGTCCCAGGGCTCAAGGGCAGAGACTCTTCCATTCGTGGTTATGTGCCCTGCACTCAGCACAGTAGGCAAACAGGCAGTCTTTGTTGGACGAGTAGTAAGTAAGGTGCATCTGGGAAATTAACGGGACTGGAGTTTGGGTGATTGGGTTTTCCTTAGTTTCTACACATTACCCCCCAATGAGGCCACATCGTATCCCCTCGTATCCTACGATCGGGGAAGGGTGGAAATAATGTTTCCTTGATTTTAAGGGGTGGATACTTTAAGGGTCTGTGGTGTGGATGTCATCACAATTTGTTGACGGACTCTGAATCCCCAGCACGGTGCTAGGGAGAGAAGCGTTGAATGCCGTCACGTTTGAGGTATTCAGAATTTACTCTCTCTGTTCTTCCAGAATCTGCTGGAGTGGCAACCACTGGGGCCCACACACCTCCGAAGACACCCAGCCTTCCGGCCCCTCTTGGGTCTTCACAGTCGGGACCCCTTCCGGGCACCTCCTCTGACTCCAAATCCGCAGCCGCTTTCTTAGGGCTGACCCCTGCTGCTTCCCCGATCCCAGCCACTGACCCCACCAAGTCCCCTCCAGCTCCTCAGGCTGAGACATCGGCCCCGTCTCCCACCCCGAAGCAAAGTCTTCTTTTGGGAATGCTGAGCACCCCACCTGCCGACCCCCCTACCTCCACAGCCCCCGCCGTGTCCTCGGCATCTCCCATGTTCAAGCCCATCTTTCTGGCCCCACCAAAAAGCGAGAATGATGGCCCTTTGCCATCCAGCCCATCCAAGGTCACCACCGCGACCCCTTCCGGCTCTGCCCTCCCTGCGCCTGCCAGCAGCCCCAAGCTCACTTTCGAGCCAATCTTCGGCAGCATCGGGCCCCCTACGTCTGTGCCCTCGTCAGTCCCCTTCTTCAGTCAGACGGCCGTTCCAGCCACTGCCACGAGCACCCCTCTTTTCACCGGCCAGGCCGGTGCCACCTCAGCCGTGGCTCCCACGAGTACAGCCGACACGTCCACAGACTCTGCTTCGAAGCCCACGTTCAGCTTTGGTGTGAGCGGCGTGACCAGCACCACCACTTCCGCTGCCCAGCCTTTCCTCTTCGGGGCTCCCCCTGCCTCCGGTGCCAGCTTCACCCCGGCCGTGGGCTCCATATTCCAGTTCGGCAAGCCTCCTGCCGCGCCCGCCTCGACGACGGTCACGACCTTTGTCCAGTCCCTCCCCGGGGCCGTGCCAACGACCGCCAGCGGCAGCGGCACCACCGGCTTCGGCGGTTTCGGCGGCGGCCTCAGCACCCCCGCCCCGGTCACCAGCAGCCAGCCGGCGCCGACCTTCACTAGCGCCGCCACCCCGGCGTTCCACATTCCCTTCGGCTCGAGCACCAAGCCCCCCCTCTCTTCGTACCCGGGAGCCAACCCCCAGCCCACGTTCGGGGCTGCCGACGGGCAGCAGCAGGGCGCCGCCAAGCCGGCCCTCGCCCCGAGCTTCGGTAGCTCTTTCGCTTTCGGGAACTCTGCGGCCGCGGCCCCGGCTGCGACCCCAGCGCCCGGCCCGGCCCAGCCCGCCTTCGGCGGCGCCACGCCGTCCGGCTTCGGCGGTTTGAAGCCCACGGCGTCCGCCTTCGGTGCCCCCGCCAGCACCCAGCCGGCCTTCGGCAGCGGCACATCCGTGTTCTCCTTTGGGGCGGCCGCCGCCTCCGGCTTCGGAGCTACGACCCAGACCACCAGTGGCGGGACCGGTAGCTCCGTGTTCGGCAGCACGACGCTGGCGCCTTTCACGTTCGGGGGCTCGGCCGGCCCGGCCGGCAGCGGGGGCTTCGGGATCAACGCGGCCACCCCCGGCACCAGCTCTGCTTCTGGAGCGTTCAGCTTCGGCACGGGACAGAGCGGGACCGCTGGCGGCACGACGCCTTTCGGAGGAGGCTTGAGTCAGAGCACGTTGGGCGCACCCAGCCAGAGCACACCCTTTGCCTTCAGTGTGGCGAGCGCGCCCGAGAGCAAGCCTGTGTTCGGAGGTAAGATGAGGAACGGACTCGGGTGCTGCTCTGAGTGCTGGCCCTGGCCGCCCTCGGAGCTTTATGGTGTGGCGGTGACTGACATCAGATACAGGGTCAGGGAGCTGTGCGTCCTGGGGGAAGACGGTCTGGTGGTCGAGGAGGTGGGCCTTTCTGAGGCAGTTTGAGCCAAGACTCCCCGTCTTGTGATGCAGGGGTTGGGAGCATGGGTGGGTAGGCGTGAGCCAGAGCCCACTCTTCGGGCGCAGGAGAGCTGGCGCAGAGGCCCAGGGGCGGAAGCAAGCTCTGGTCACAAACAGCGAAAAGTGAGGTGTGGCTAGAGGATCGAAGAACAGAAGTGCTCCAGAATGATGTGGGGGGGCAGAGTTGACAGTCACACGTGGCCAGGGTTAAGTTTGGATTTAAGTATTGAGGGAAATCCTGGTAGAATTTCAAGCAGAAGAATGAAGTGATCTGATTTGCCACGTGGAAAGAGACTCCCAAGGAGCTCTGATCCTGATAGCGTGCTTTCTTCAGGAAACGGGAGAGGTCTTGGGGAGGTCCGTGTACAGAGGAGGGCATCTTGAAATGGTCGTTTGGAGAGCGGGAAAAGGAATGTAACGAGAATGTTGGAGAATCACGGTTATGAATTTAAAGCGAGGCCGGCCCGTGCTGTCACACGTTGTTAATCAGCGACATCCAGCCTGAGGTGAACGGGTGCAGGCGTGCCTGTCACAGCTCCAGCTGGTGCCGCGAGAGGGGCAGGGCTCGGCAAGGTGGGGGGTGATACTTGAAGTGCTCGCGGTGGCCATCTGGGTGCTGGGCAGTCCCGGGCAGCGGTGAGGGGTGACGGGGTGGGAGTGGGGTGCGAGGTCAGGACTGGGAGCGAGGCGGCCGGCACTCCTTGAGGCCTGTGGGGGGAGGCGGCGGCAGGACTGGACTTTGAATGTGACCATGGGAAGGCGAGAGGACCCACGCTGGTGGGGTGTTTGGAAGGTTCCAGTTTCTGATGCCAGGGGGCAGAGGCAGAACTCAATTGGTCATGACAGAGGGAAGTAACCTGGTACAGGTGGAGGTGAGGGGGGTGGAGGGCGTTTAGTGTCCCCAGGAATGCAGAGACTCTGTTCCTTAGGTGGCCAAAAGGCAGCACGGTGGTTAGCAGGCAGGGAGGTACTTCCTACCACCGAGGGAGCCAGCTTTGGTGGTCCAGGGCTGAGGTGCCCTGTGGGGACACCCCCCAATTCGTCATCCCGGCTGTTATGCCCTCTGCCCACTGCCTAGTCGCTCGTTTTCTACGGTCTCTTTGTTCTAGGCACTTCCACACCCACTTTTGGTCAGAACACCCCTGCCCCCGGGGTGGGCGCATCGGGCAGTGGTCTCTCCTTTGGGGCGTCCTCAACACCCACCCAAGGCTTTGTTGGAGTCGGACCTTTCGGTAAGCAGCCAGCGTGACCCTGCTTCTTTCTGCAAAGAAGGAGGGCGGGGGGGGGGGGGGGGGGGGAGGTGGAGGAGGGGGGTGGGTCTTGGCAGGTTCCTGGCTCTGGGGCTCCCTGGAAAAGATCAGGCTCACAGGCATGAGAAAGATGTGGCCTGGCTACGAGATTGGCAAAGCCCAGGTATGGAGTTGAGGGTGGAATGTTTCAGACCACTGGAAAGCCAAGGGCAAATGCCTCGTTGCTCGCTCTCAGGTGTTCTGGGATTCTGTACTTTCAGTAGCCACCACCCCCCCACACACACCGCTGCCACTGTTGGGGAAGCCCGGTTTAAGTACCGGATTCTGTCGGCCTAACCTTCCAGAGATTAGGGTACCCAGGGAGGTGTCCCGGATAGCAGCTGCCCTGATGAGACCTTGTTGAATCTTTCCAGGATCGGCGGCCCCTTCGTTTTCCATTGGTGCAGGATCCAAGACCCCGGGGGCTCGGCAGCGACTGCAGGCCCGCAGGCAGCACACCCGCAAGAAATAGCCTTTGTCCCCGTTCCATACCCCCCCCCAACCCCCCTCCTTGCCCACATCTGGACCTCAGCACCTGCTAGGAAGAGCCTCTGACCCTTCTAGTTCCATAAAGCAACCTACCCCAGATCTCTGGCTTCCGCCACCAGGGAGGCGGTGGCAGCCCCGGTGGCCGGTTCCTGCTCCTTGAGGAAGAAGCCCCTGGCCTCTCGAGGGAGGGGGGTTGGGGTGCACAGGGCAGGAGCCTGATCCCTTTACTTGAATGGCTCCGTGGTGAGGCTGGAGAAAACTGAAGAAACATCTGTACATACTGTCCTCGTCCTCCCCTGACTCTTGTCTGGTGTATGAGCTTGGTCAGGCGGCCTCCCTTCCCGCCTTGCCCCCAGAGCCATCTCCTCTCGCCTGGCAGGTCGTAGGCACGGCCCTCCCCACACGTGCCGCCGCCGTGCAGTGGATGATGGGAGTCGGGGAAGTGGGTCAGCCCCGCGGCTTTACCTTGCTTGGCTTGCCTATAAAAAGCGGTTCTCCTCGGGTCCCGTTAGGGGACTCTGCTTCCCCAGTTCTTGCTGCTTCGTCCCTCCCTCGTTCCCCGCAGGCTCTACTCCTTTTTAAAGGACCTTGAATCTAGCTTTGCCTTGGAGACCCCAGTGGGGCTGCTCCTGCTGGTCCACTTCCTCCTGCCAAGTCTGAGTCCATGTTTGTCCTCAACCCTCTGCCAGTTCGGCCCCTAAAAGCTCGGTGGCTCAAGACTGTTAGCCTGGCAGCTGCAGGGGAGCTACCTCGCTCCGGGGGAGGGGGGGGCGCGCCGGGAGCGGGCAGGATGTCCCCCCGCTGCCTCCTTGCCCGCCTTCCCCGCTGGCCTCCGGGGGGCTCGTCCGCCTCCTCCCCGGGGTTGTATGTTTAAAGCCTTGTCCTGTGTTACTGTCTGATGCTCACGTCTATTGCTCTTTGAATCGAGTTTGGAGGAAGAATTGAATTGTATGAGTGGCGGCATGTTGGTAGTGCCGGACTTAACCGTTTCAAGTTTCTGGGGCCTCGCTAATTGAATGTGGAAAGTAGCACCGCTTTATGGCTACACGTGCTGACTCCTGGATTTTCAAATGGTGTTTTGACTTTAAGGGCTGGCAGCCCAAGAGGATGGGGCCGAGGGGGAAGCAAAGTCCTCTTCCCTCTGCTGTTTCCCTCCCGCCTACCTGACCCCACCGTGGGCTGGATCCTCCCCAGAATGTTAGAAAACCAAAATTAACCAACCACGCTTCAAAATTCATCCCCCCCACCCCCCCTTTCAGCAGAGCCTCCCCTCCGTCCCGTTCTCCCCCTGTTCCCAGATCACATACCCCAGGCCCAAGAGCCTTGCTGCCAATGCCCATCCTCTTTGGGAGAAGTATGAATGCGTGTGTCTAAATTAAAAGAAAAAAATATTTAAACATTTTTTAACGAAATAAAAATTTATTTTTGTATTTAAGCTAAATTGCCTTTTAAATTCCTTCAAGCTTGGTTCACTGAGGTGGTTAAGTATAAATGCTATTGACTAGGAATTAGCTGTATAGTTAAGTTATGCCTGTGTGGACAAGAGGCTCAGACTGTCCCAGGCAGCTTTCCTGAGGGACTAGAGCCCCTTCGGGACACATTCTATAAACCATAATTCTTATTTTATAAATAATGTGACGTAGATGTGACTTGTCCCCCCTCCCCCCTCGTGACTGAGGTTGAGTGTGACGCAGGGGACTGCTCCTTCCCACCCCCCAGGAAGAGCAGACAGTATTTACCTGTGTGTGGCGCCCAGAGGCCTGGACCTCGAGTCCCGAGTCCCTGTTAGGATTGGGGGGGTGGGGGGGTGGGGGGGTGGGCACGGGTCTAGAAACCAAGCTTCTAGCGATACCTTCCGGAAGGTAGAGCCTCGTTAGTGTTAGTGTTCCGAGCTAGTTTACCTCAGGTCCACAGGGAGGACACTTGGCCCGGGAGCCCCCAAAGAGGGTGTCCCGGCGCGGCCTGAGTGTGTGTGTGTGTGGGTGTGTGTGTGGGTGTGTGTGTGGGTGTGTGTACACGTACGTGCACTGGACAGGAACGGGAGGCTGGGACTTTCCATTACAAATAAAGACTTAATTCCTGTGAGGCTAGTTGGAATTTTTAGTATGAATGTGAGATTTTTCTCCTTGCTTATGTCATTAAGAATAAAAAAAAAAACTGTGATCTATCGTAGACCATGTCCTGCTTTTTATTTCCGTGGGCAGAGCTGTCACGAGCAAGAACACGGCCCGGGGAGGGGCCCAGGGGACAGGCAAGTCCACACTCTCCCTCCAGCTACCGCTTTCCTTCCTAAAGCAATAAAAAGAAAAGAACCTTAAAACCCGCCGGCTGAGCTGCGGGATGGCGGGGTCCCCCCCCCCGCCCAAGGCACAGCTCTGCAGACCTGCTCGGTGCGGGGCGGCACCCCAGGGGCCGCCACTCTGCGCCGTCTCTTCCTCCGCGGGGCGGCCTCGGGTGGAGGTGCCGGTGCTTCGGCCCGGGAGACTGAGCTAGAAGGAAAGTACCTAAGTTAGAGGTGCCCGGGTCTTCCGGCGTCTTCCAAGCAGCAACCCCCCCCACTCACCTCGGCACCTCCACCCGTTCAAGTACGGCAACAAAGAAGCCACCGGTGAGCGTGGTTTCAGGGGAGGCCCGGAGGCAGCGTTCAGCCCCCGGAAAAGTGCCGAGGCCACGGTGGGGCCAGGAGGGGAGGACGGGGACTAGCCTGTGGAGGTGAACAGACTTCTGGGTAAAAGACAGCAGCCCCCTTCCCCAGGACCCCGGCGGGTCCCCACTACCTGAAGGTCCCCGAGTTCTGCTGCAGGGCGTCCCGCACCACGTCTTCATTCTCCTCTTGGCAGAGGGAGCACGTGGAGTAGACCAGACGCTGCAGGGAGGGGAAAGTGAGCGCGTGGCAGAGTGCTCGCCGCTGGAACCCAGCCAGGGCCTGCAAGCGCGCCTTGCTAGGTGTGCCCACCCCGGGCTCCTCCAGCCGTCTGGTCGCCATACCTAGGGACAAAGCCTGTCAGCTGCAGACGGGCCTCGTTTCGCACCGAGATCCCTGCACTGCAGGGGACAACGTCTGCCCAGGGTCACCAGTATTAGACCGAGGCCAAAGCGAACCGCTGCCCCTTCCGCCGCAAGGTTGCCCCGCGTCTGCAGGTCCCGCGGCCAGGCTCTGTCCCCATCTCACCAGAGCCGCTACAAGAAGGATCCAGCAAGATGTACTGGACCTGACGGTAGCGCTGGTCGGAGGGCGATACCGCCAGGAAGTCCTCCTCGGCCAGCTCGCAGCACGAGACTCCGGCCCGGGCCAGCAGGGTAGCCATGGACGCCAGCCGCCCAGCGTCCAGGTCAAAGGCAAAGATCTTGCTGGAGAAGAGGGGAGAGACGGGGCGAACTGAGAATCCACGGGGAACCTCAGGGCCCACAGTTCTGACACGAGAACATGTCCCTTCACAGGGACACAGAAGAGAAGGGACAGTGGTTAGAGGGACCTGACCTGGAGACTCTGCCCCAAGGGCTGAGGGATTCCTATCTTCGCACCGGCCACCCAGAGGGCGGCTGAGCTTCGGGCCCCGCCACCAACTGCTCTGGGTCCAGAAGCGAATATTTAAGGGGAGATCCTCCTTTCGGCCTTCAAGCCCCCACTGGGTCACAGTTTTCCTCATCTCGTCCTCCAAGTACAAGGTCAGACCCCAGCTCCCTCAGGCTGACCATGGCACTCACCCCTGGTTCTTGAGAAGAGCAGCCAAGTGACTGGTCTTGTTGCCTGGGGCAGCGCAGGCATCGATGACGTGGGAGCCGGGGGGCGGGGCCAGCAGCACGGCCGGCAGACAGCTGGCCTGGCAGGCAGAGCAGGCCCTGGGCTGGCGCACAGAGGCCCGGCTCCCTCTCGGTCCTCCCCTTCCCACCCACCTGCCCTACCTTGTCTTGTAGAATGAGGTGGCCGGCCTGGTACAGCGGGTGGTCGTGCAGATCCGTCTGGGCTGGAAACACCAGCAGCTCTGGCAACAAGGGATCCAGAAGAAAGCACTTCCCTTTAAGGGCCCGGAGGTCCTCGAGGCTGCCAGGGAACAGGAAGCATCGGCACGTCTGAGTTCCTCCGGGCTATGCGCCAGGCTGGCCATTTCACACGTTTCCTCACTTGGACTGTTCGTTCACGCGACAGATGCTCCAGACCGCCAGGAAGCGAGGGACAGGATCGATTTGATACGAATGGGCAGCAGAGGGGCGCCTGGGTGGCTCAGTCAGTTAAGTGTCCAACTCGACTTCGGCCCAGGTCAGGATCTTGAGGTTCCTGGGCTCAAGCCCCATGTCAGGCTGCCAGCGCTGAGCATGCTTAGAATTCTCTCCGTCTCTCTCTGCCCCTGCCCTGTGTATGTGCGCACGGGCTCGCTCTCTCTCTCAAACAAACAAAAAAACCACCTAACGTGGACAGAGGTCACTCCTGGGGAGGCGGGCACCGAGCTGACTGCTCAGGGGCAGGGGTCTCCTAACGTGAGGAGCGGAGACGGAAGCGTCATGTTCCAAACCCTGGCGAAGCGGGCCGACAACGATGCTCAGTTCGGAAAGCCATCCGCAGGGGCAGAGCTGGAAGCCAAACCCAAACAGCCACTGCCTGGCGCGCCGCCCGGCCTCCCAACCACGTGCTGCGGGCAGAAGGACAGAAGGACCGTCTACCACAGACGGGGAAGGCGGACGCAGGGGCGACTTCCCAGGATGAGGGGGATGGGGACGCAGGGGAGCAGCGGGGGGTGCACAGGAACGGTGGCGGGCAACGGAAGCAGTAGGCACAGCACAAGAGAGCCAAGGACGGTTTAGGCAGGGGAGATCTTTCTGTGGCCGACCACATGACACGTCTGGAGGCGGAGAGACCAGGTCAGGGGCTGCTTCTGCCAAAGAAGACGGAAAACCACGGGCAGAGTGGGGGGAGGGGGCAGAAAGATGCCGCAGGCAAGGGCGTAAGTGACGAGGGTGAGAAGAGAAGCATTTCCGGTGACTGGGTTCGTGGCCTGACCAAATGGTTGCCTGACGGTGATGTCAGCTGCCAGGTTAAGAGGGAATGCAGAAGGGGCAAAGGTCAGGGATGCAAGGACGGGTTCAGGGTCCACAAAGCAATCCCCGTGCTGCGCTGCACTCACAACAGGAGGGATAAAAATCCTGGTCGGCTCATCTGACAAAACTCAACATGCACTGAGGATAAAAACACTCTCCGCA